GGGCTTATCGAATAACACGGTTGTGGACTGGTACAGTTTCCACCGAGACATTGCCATGCAGGACATCCTGAACAACCCCCCTCAGCTCGGAGGCATCGATCTTCAAGGTCAAGCGATCGTTGTTGAAATCGACGAGAGTAAATACTTCCATCGAAAGTACCATCGTGGCGCCTGGCACGAAGGGCACTGGGTGTTCGGGGCCATCGAGCGACACTCTGGCCGATGTATGATCAAGGTTAGCAATATAATCTTGGATTAATGTAGGCCTACCGGTAGTTCTGATTTTGGTCGTTCTGAAAGTGGTTACCAAATAATTAATTGGTGCTTCTTGTCATGCCTATGTTGTTCGTACAGGAAGTTCCCGACAGGCGTGCTGCCACGTTGGTCCAGCTGATCAGCGAGTGGATTCTGCCTGGCTCACGCATCATCTCTGACGGCTGGGCCGCATACGCGCAGATCAGGAACATCGACGGTGGCGTATACCAGCACGATGTCGTCGTCCACGACGACAACTTTGTTGATCCGGACGACCGAACGATCCACACCAACAACGTGGAAAACATGTGGATGCGGGCCAAGCGCCAGCTGAAGCGCAACTTCGGCACCTCGCGAGAGTTGTTCCCGACGTACCTCCGCGAGTTCGTGTGGAGACAGAGAGTTCGCGCGGAAGACAACACATTCGGCTCCCTGCTCCGCAGTGTTCACCAGCAGTACCCAGTCTGATCTGTCCTCGGTTTTCATGAAAATAAAGTTCATGATGTGAAAGTACACTGAAAACGTGTGTGACAGTACACTGAACACTGGGAAAGTGCGAAATAATTTGGGACCCTAAACTGCATGATTACCATTTTCATCGCTACAGCGAGGACGACGCCGATCGGCAAACTCTCGCTCACAGCCATCACCAGCCTCTCAAAACCATCACTTGGCATCCCCCAGAGGTACAGGAGAAAGCCAAAACAGCTCACAACAAACAAAAGCTAAGGACGATGGAAAGAGAGCATGTCAAAAAGAAGACGAACAGTATGAAGTTCAAATGGGTTTGAACACTCGTACCACCAACTATACCACTTTCAATAAATCGTGACGCCATTTTGTTTTAACATGAATATCGCGGGTTGATCAACGAGTAGATTCACATACGAATTATCATGATTATTTTCATTGTAAATAATTGTTACCGCTAATAATATTGAATCATACTCATAGCCAGCTAGCGCCGCGCTATCCTCGCGTTTTTTTTTCTTTTTCTACAAAATCCACATATCTCCAGACACTGGGGTGAATGATGGAGTGTGGTGGTGGGGCCCATTAAGCTCCGCCGACCAGAGGTCTCGGCTTCATAGCTCCATGGACGCACCAAAGGGATATTGGGTAGGGAGGATTAAATTGAAAAAGAAAACAGAAGAAAGAAAATGGAAAGATTGTATTGCTCAGTGAGCAAAAGAATAAGTTGAGTATTGATGTGAACGCTGTTAGACTTTTAAATTCAAGAGGAGACTGTCCGTGAGGAGAGATTACATGTATGTCCAAGCAGGCTAGGACAATGTACCCTCTTACTCGCGTATGCTATGAGTGGCCCAGTGCCAGTTCGTTCTGAGGAGATGGTGATAAGCTGCTGTCTTGAACTTTTGGATGTTCTTTGGGTGAAATGGGTGGGGAATGATAGAGGTAGGCAGCTGGTTCCAAATTGGGATGACGGAGTGGGGAAAGGCTCGGCTCACATTGTTCCTGGAATTGGCAGGAAGAACATTCTGTAACTGATGGGGATGCGCGGTGGACAGTCGTACAGCCTGGCGGGTGAGGCGTGTGGTCCTGGGTTGGTGTGTCGGGGGTGGAGCCATTCTCGAGAGAAGAGCGGGAGAATTATCGCAAAGGGCTTTATACAGGAGGCAGAGGGCAGCGATGGTGCGGCGAATTATGAGGCTAGGAAGCCAGCATTGCGGATGTATTGCCTTGATGGCTCGCTCCTGCACCCAGTCCAGCCGATTCAAGTGGGAAGAAGCTGCCCCCATCCAGACGATTGGGCAGTACTCCATAACCGGCCGGACAAAGGCTTTGTAGGCTCGAAGCCGGGCAGGAATAGTCAGCAAGTGAAATGCCTTGCGCAAGGCTCCAAGTCTCTGCATTGCTCGGACTACAACAGTTCGGATATGCTGGCTGAATTTTAGCTGATGGTCAAACGTGACGCCGAGTACCTTGATGGAGGGCTGCTCCTCGACAGGAGTTCCATTGAAGACAATGGGGGGTATTGGCCAGTCCCGACGATGGTGGGAAATTGTAAGGGCCTGAGATTTGGCTGGCTCGAACTGCACTTTCCAATCCGAGCCCCAACTGGATACTAGGTCGACAGCAGCCTGGAGTACTCTAGCGTTGTCAGGAACAGCAGCGAGCGTTGCAATTTCGGCGTATAGGGTCACGGTGTGTCATCGGCGAATGAGGCAAGGTTGGAGCCGATTGGGAGGTGGTCTTCAAGGTCGTTGACGTAGACCAAGAATAAGGTGGGGCCCAGGATACTGCCCTGTGGCACCCCAGCCTTAACTGGGCGTCTGGCTGATGTCTGGCCGGAGATGAGGGGGGGGGGGGGCGTGATCATGGTGATGGAAAGCAGGAGCGAGTAGCCGGGGGGGGGGGGCTGCAAACAACGAAATTCGTAAGATTTCGACCGTCAGGGTTCGAGTAACGAAAGTAATGTTGCCACGAAGATCCGTCCAAACCAGGGAGCACTAGCCTGGGCATAGTCATACTGTGTGCGTAGGGCTCTCTGCTAATCACCATGGCATGCGGTACACAAACCCTCTCAGTCCCATCCGGGTCACTAATCACCATGCTCTACACACACCCTCTCAACCAGGTCACTAATCACCATGCTGTACACACACCCTCTCAACCGGGTCACTAATCACCATACTGTACACACACCCTCTCAACCGGGTCACTAAACACCATGCTGTACACACACCCTCTCAACCGGGTCACTAATCACCATGCTGTACACACACCCTCTCAACCAGGTCACTGATCACCATGCTGTACACACACCCTCTCAACCAGGTCACTAATCACCATGCTGTACACACACCCTCTCAACCGGGTCACTAATCACCATGCTGTACACACACCCTCTCAACCAGGTCACTAATCACCATGCTGTACACACACCCTCTCAACCAGGTCACTAATCACCATGCTGTACACACACCCTCTCAACCGGGTCACTAATCACCATGCTGTACACACACTCTCTCAACCAGGTCACTAATCACCATGCTGTACACACACCCTCTCAACCAGGTCACTAATCACCATGCTGTACACACACCCTCTCAACCGGGTCACTAATCACCATGCTGTACACACACCCTCTCAACCGGGTCACTAATCACCATGCTGTACACACACCCTCTCAACCGGGTCACTAATCACCATGCTGTACACACACCCTCTCAACCAGGTCACTAATCACCATGCTGTACACACACCCTCTCAACCGGGTCACTAATCACCATGCTGTACACACACCCTCTCAACCGGGTCACTAATCACCATGCTGTACACACACCCTCTCAACCAGGTCACTAATCACCATGCTGTACACACACTCTCTCAACCGGGTCACTAATCACCATGCTATACACACACCCTCTCAACCGGGTCACTAATCACCATGCTGTACAGTACACACACCCTCTCAACCGGGTCACTGTGTGTCGTGCGCAAAAGAACGGTACATGCAGGCCACTGTAACAATCTCAATGTCCACGTGAAAACGAGAGAGTCACACCCCCTCCTTTTCCCAAGATGAATGAATCTAGGGCGAGATTTGCATTAATTTCTAAAGATACCATGTGCCAGTGCTTTAGGAAAGTATAAAAATCATTTTATATAAATGGGTGCCTTGGAAATTGCGGTGCCTTGAAAAATGAAATAAAAGGTGCTTTGAAAATAGAAGTACGAAGGCAAAGAGACAGTAAAAATGAAAAGCAAGTGCAGGAATAAAAAACGAGCAGAATGTGATTACGCATACCGGTTCAACCGGCAATAGCAATTATTAAATGGCTGCTGTGAAAATAGCACTTCCTTAGAAAAATTAAAGAAGTTGCCTTTTGAAAAAGCATTGCAAAAAAGTGAAAAAGGGCAGCCAAAGTGAAAAAGGATAGGCAGAAATGGGGCCGCGCAGAAGCTGATAATTCTATGAGCATACCGGTTCAACCGGAAAAGAATTTTTACAACATGTTCCGCTATTCGGCATGATGACGTCAGACTAGTGCACTGCTTTTCCAGCAGTGTCTAAGCTCAAATAGTCAAATACGGACCTAAAGCGAGGTTCTAAGTCACAGAGATAGAATGTAGAGATATTTGTTTTTGAGAATAAAAAGAAATTGAATGACAATTCAACACAACTCAGACAGTCTATCTAGACTCTACACATGGGTCAGGTACTGGGCATGGACCGAAGGGCACGCGCGGGGAAATCCAGCATTCTGGTTCCGTGCCACTTTGCCTGAGCACGCGGCGGCGCCCACGGTGCTGCACTACTGAGGAGTGAAGAAGAAGAAGAAGAAGAAGAAGAAGAAGAAGAAGAAGAAGAAGAAGAAGAAGAAGAAGAAGAAGAAGAAGAAGAAGAAGAAGAAGAAGAAGAAGAAGAAGAAGAAGAAGAAGAAGAAGAAGAAGAAGAAGAAGAAGAAGAAGAAGAAGAAGAAGAAGAAGAAGAAGAAGAAGAAGAAGAAGAAGAAGAAGAAGAAGAAGAAGAAGAAGAAGAAGAAGAAGAAGAAGAAGAAGAAGAAGAAGAAGAAGAAGAAGAAGAAGAAGAAGAAGAAGAAGAAGAAGAAGAAGAAGAAGAAGAAGAAGAAGAAGAAGAAGAAGAAGAAGAAGAAGAAGAAGAAGAAGAAGAAGAAGAAGAAGAAGAAGAAGAAGAAGAAGAAGAAGAAGAAGAAGAAGAAGAAGAAGAAGAAGAAGAAGAAGAAGAAGAAGAAGAAGAAGAAGAAGAAGAAGAAGAAGAAGAAGAAGAAGAAGAAGAAGAAGAAGAAGAAGAAGAAGAAGAAGAAGAAGAAGAAGAAGAAGAAGAAGAAGAAGAAGAAGAAGAAGAAGAAGAAGAAGAAGAAGAAAGGCATATTCAAAGGAAGTAGTGCTTAGGATAGCGAATGCAGCAGGAAAATGAAGAATATCGCGACTTAATGAGTGAGTGGGAGCGAGAGACTGGGTGAGAGCGAGAGTAAGCGAGAGTGAGAGCAAGTGAAGGAGAGAGCTCAGTCTAGAGTCTGAGTTGAAGTAGAAAAACGGACAGAAAGACGTAAAGGCAGACAGACAGAAGGACTTACAGGAAGAGAGACAGAAGAACTTACAGGAAGAGACAGACAGACAGAACAAATTCTCGCCGCGATCCAGTGTTGATCAATCATGGCCACCATCATCACCACCATCCTGTGTCCATACACAAGAGAACAACAAGACGCAGTAATAACTAATTGTACTGCATGTGCAGTGATTGCAACTGGCGTAAGCGACCTCTGGTTTTAGCGACGTGACCTTCTGACAATGCGGATCACTGCGGGTGTGTTATCTAATTGCCTAGAAATCTATACTGGAAGACCAGTAATGTTAAGTTGTTAGCGAACATTTAATTGTAACGAGTTTACGAATTTGAACTGACTGCCCGCCCATGGCGAGATGAATGGAAAAGAAATTGGGGAAAATCCACTAACACTACACTGCCCTACCCCTATCGCACTACACTGCCCTACCCCTATCGCACTACACTGCCCTACCCCTATCGCACTACACTGCCCTACACATATTGCACTACACTGCCCTACCCCTATCGCACTACACTGCCCTACCCCTATCGCACTACACTGCCCTACCCCTATCGCACTACACTGCCCTACCCCTATCGCACTACACTGCCCTACCCCTATCGCACTACACTGTCCTACCCCTATCGCACTACACTGCCCTACCCCTATTGCACTACACTGCCCTACCCCTATCGCACTACACTGCCCTACCCCTATCGCACTACACTGCCCTACCCCTATCGCACTACACTGCCCTACCCCTATCGCACTACACTGCCCTACCCCTATCGCACTACACAGCCCTACCCCTATCGCACTACACTGCCCTACCCCTATCGCACTACACTGCCCTACCCATATCGCACTACACTGCCCTACCCCTATCGCACTACACTGCCCTACCCCTATCGCACTACACTGCCCTACCCCTATCGCACTACACTGCCCTACCCCTATCGCACTACACTGCCCTACCCCTATCGCACTACACTGCCCTACCCCTATCGCACTACACTGCCCTACCCCTATCGCACTACACTGCCCTACCCATATCGCACTACACTGCCCTACCCCTATCGCACTACACTGCCCTACCCCTATCGCACTACACTGCCCTACCCCTATCGCACTACACTGCCCTACCCCTATCGCACTACACTGCCCTACCCCTATCGCACTACACTGCCCTACCCCTATCGCACTACACTGCCCTACCCCTATCGCACTACACTGCCCTACCCCTATCGCACTACACTGCCCTACCCCTATCGCACTACACTGCCCTACCCCTATCGCACTACACTGCCCTACCCATATCGCACTACACTGCCCTACCCCTATCGCACTACACTGCCCTACCCCTATCGCACTACACTGCCCTACCCCTATCGCACTACACTGCCCTACCCCTATCGCACTACACTGCCCTACCCCTATCGCACTACACTGCCCTACACATATTGCACTACACTGCCCTACCCCTATCGCACTACACTGCCCTACCCCTATCGCACTACACTGCCCTACCCCTATCGCACTACACTGCCCTACCCCTATCGCACTACACTGCCCTACCCCTATCGCACTACACTGCCCTACCCCTATCGCACTACACTGCCCTACCCCTATCGCACTACACTGCCCTACCCCTATCGCACTACACTGCCCTACCCCTATCGCACTACACTGCCCTACCCCTATCGCACTACACTGTCCTACCCCTATCGCACTACACTGCCCTACCCCTATGGCACTACACTGCCCTACCCCTATCGCACTACACTGCCCTACCCCTATCGCACTACACTGCCCTACCCCTATCGCACTACACTGCCCTACCCCTATCGCACTACACTGCCCTACCCCTATCGCACTACACTGCCCTACCCCTATCGCACTACACTGCCCTTCCCCCTATCGCACTACACTGCCCTACCCCTATCGCACTACACTGCCCTACCCCTATCGCACTACACTGCCCTACCCCTATCGCACTACACTGCCCTACCCCTATCGCACTACACTGCCCTACCCCTATCGCACTACACTGCCCTACCCATATCGCACTACACTGCCCTACCCCTATCGCACTACACTGCCCTACCCCTATCGCACTACACTGCCCTACCCCTATCGCACTACACTGCCCTACCCCTATCGCACTACACTGCCCTACCCATATCGCACTACACTGCCCTACCCCTATCGCACTACACTGCCCTACCCCTATCGCACTACACTGCCCTACCCCTATCGCACTACACTGCCCTACCCCTATCGCACTACACTGCCCTACCCCTATCGCACTACACTGCCCTACCCCTATCGCACTACACTGCCCTACCCCTATCGCACTACACTGCCCTACCCCTATCGCACTACACTGCCCTACCCCTATCGCACTACACTGCCCTACCCCTATCGCACTACACTGCCCTACCCATATCGCACTACACTGCCCTACCCCTATCGCACTACACTGCCCTACCCCTATCGCACTACACTGCCCTACCCCTATCGCACTACACTGCCCTACCCATATCGCACTACACTGCCCTACCCATATCGCACTGCACTGCCCTACCCCTATCGCACTACACTGCCCTACCCCTATCGCACTACACTGCCCTACCCCTATCGCACTACACTGCCCTACCCCTATCACACTACTCCTCCTAGTCCTACTGCTTGCTAGCTAGCTACTGCAAGCCTTCAGACCGGCCTGATGCCAGCTGGGCTGCCAAAACCACGAAAAAGAACTATGGAGCTGCAAAAGTCCCAACTGGCCTCTGCCTGTACAGCCTACTGCTCTTTACTTACCCACTGGATCAGCAGCGGATTCTCCTGCAGACGCAAATGCGGCGTCATCAGTGCTGCCGGGCTGGCCCGAACTTGTCGACGAGTTCCAGCTTGGCCAATAACCTTCTCGCGCTGGCTGGTGGCTCAACTTCACGGATGCATTCAAGGAATTTGTGGAAGGATTCGTCATCACCCAGGCGTAGTGCATCGAGCAATGCCTCATTCTGCGCTGCAGGGCCAATGTATGATGCAAAGAGCTGACGCTGTGGCTGCTTAATCAGCTTCTTAGCCTCACACTGGCGACGCATAGCACTTGGAGTTAGCGTGGAAACCAGGTCAGGCAGAAGTTCTGTGAAGACGTCACTCTGCCATGCTGTCATGTCAGAGAGCTGTCGGTCGAGAGACTCGCCTGAAAATGTTGGCACAACACACACATAGAGAAACAGAAATCAGAATGGTTTCACATCTATCACATGAACGTACGGGATAGGCATGTTGGGTTCAACTCCACTCAACTCCTGCATCTATGGGTCACATGACGTCGGCCATGTTGGTTCCGCTGGTCACATGACATGATCACTTTCTGCACAAATTCAGTCACATGACCAAGATGTGACCACAACTCCATAGTCCATACATTCCGTTCCTAAGTCTGAAGCTATTGACAAGCCATGCAAAAGCAGTGTTGGGCTTAACACTGCTTCAGTAGAACCATCCGACACTAGGAACAGGCCTGGCCTGGACTTGACTTGATCCATCATGCAGCTCTACAGACTTGCGAGCGCCCGCTTCTGATGAACACAAGCCTGTGCAGTGAAAAGGTTTACAACTGACTCGCCGGGCCCCGCAGTGATACGACGGACCGTTTGCAGGGGCATCGGAACTGGTGCAGCAGGTGCGGCCAAAGTCGCAACAATAAGTTTAAGAAGTCGGGTGGACACACCCATTCCCATAGCGCTGCACATCACATCCGAACCAGTTCCGTTATTTTTACAACGTTTCGGCACTTGGCCATCGTCAGGTAATTACAATGAATACCATGGAAGCCACACAAGAGCAGTATATACGCAGAGTGTAGCGCCAAAAGATGCGAATTATGTCACCTAGTATGCAGAAGGGGGGGGGGGGGCAGAGAGAGAAAAGGCGCAACTAGCACATCACGGAGGAGAAGCAGCAGAAGGTAGCGCGCTTTGTGCTCTGTGAATGGCGTTACGCAGGTGAAATTTTTTAGGGAAATGGCTTGCTGTTGTGGCCCCAGAACACATTTTTAACTGTCCAGCACACGCCCTACAACCATGTCAATTTATGCAGCAACCGTAGTCTTGTAGCCACGTTCTACAGTAACACTTGCTGCTTTATTATATTCCAGGCACATACATCATACACCAATAAGAAGTCTACGAAATTGTAGCAACTACAGCTATACCATTTAATATTGGCATATTGTGCATGTAGAAAAAACGGAGGTGGTTGCCACTGAAGAACATTGCATATGAACTGCACAGCATGACAGTGGTAAGAGGATATTCTCGGAATACGTCCTGTAAACACAATAGAAAAAATCATATGCGTGCAAGAGAAGCACACTATCAGTCCGTCGCTGCTACTAATGTTAATGTCAATTAACTACTCAAGAGCTTCTTCTAGCAAATCGCGCAACCGCTTGCGGCAGGCTTTTCCTCATGGCTGGTGTTGCCTTGAAGCTGAGGCATGTCTCTGAACCTCGGTTGCACTGGATGGTCATGAGGTTGCTCAGCATTTTCGTACTCAGGCCGTTGCGGCTCGATGTCTTGGCCTCCCCCATCTGTGAGAAGTTGCGCTCAATTGCAGCAGAAGAATGGGGAATGGCGAGCAGAGCAGTCGCCAGCTCGACAAGGCTGTAGCGAGACGATCTGGACGTCTTCAGTGAAGAAACATCATGCCAGAACCGAGTGACATCTGTCCCGTCTGCAGGAACTTCCGGATCCACCTGGAACTGCTGCCACTGTTGACGCAGCTCGTCGCACCTCTCTCTTGGGATAACTTGAGGGAACCGCTGGGCAAGATACGCAACCCTGTCTCCACCCACCATGTTGCCAGAAGTAGGGCAAAGAAAGCTGGCAGCCTCGAGAACCTTGTCCTTCAATGGAAAACGGGACTGGGCTTGCTTGGCAGCCTGAATCCAGAAGTCACGGCAGGTCTCCAGGAAGGCGAGCCTGTTTTCTGCGTTGCGAAATACACGCTCGACATAGTGCTCGGTTTCGGTTCCGATGAACACCTTGCTCAGTTGAAGGTAGTTTTCTTGTCGAAGCAGGTTGGATGAGGACACAGGATGGCTTAAAGCCTAGTTCACATTCGACGCAACGCCGACGGTACGGGACGTAAGGGCTTGTCGGGAGGGCTGGGGTGAGCTGTAAAATCCTGTACGATTCGTACGACACGACGTTGCGACGTTCAACGTCGAACGGCGCGAGTCATAAGGCACGGTCCGTGACGGGGTGACTTTCGGACCTAATTTCTCGTTTTTCGGGACTTCTTTTCAATTATTTCTCCTTGAAAGAAGCGGAATCAAGTTCACAATACCAGTTTTTCCTGAAGACCAAAAAATTAGCCCTGACAGTCGTGCCATTCAAATAATAGCCCCAGGAAATGATAGAATAGTTCGTCTGTCACGTTTCTGAACTATCCCTAAACACTATAAGTGACATGAGATCTTATGTTGCTAAAATTCAACTCAAGTCGTGCTAGCCATTCTGTGGGTTATCATGGGAAGCGCAGTGTTCGAAATGCGAAAAATTTCCAAGTACGAATCGGGAGTAGTCGGCGCACGACGCCGTCTCCTGTTCACACTCGAATTGCAGCCGTTTTGTACGCTTGCGTCCCCGTCTACGCCCGTCTACGGTATGAAAAGTTGGATCGATCCAACTCTTCCCGTCGCTTCCCGATCTGTACGGTAGTACGGTTGCGTTCCCGTTCCTGGTGTTCACATTGGACGCCGTCAGACCGTCCCGTCGCTTCCCGTCGATCCTTACGTCGCGTCCCGTCGCACCCCGTCGAATGTGAACTAGGCTTAAGACAACCTCGGGACGCAGTGCATTCAGGACAATGGTCTACATGCAGTCTGTCTGTACAGTGTGTACAGTGTGTACAGTGTGTACAGTGTGTACAGTGTGTACAGTGTGTACAGTGTGTACAGTGTGTACAGTGTGTACAGTTCTTCAAGCTCCCAACAGGCTCGGCCGGGAAGCGATTTGTAACATTGATGTGTGAACAGATCCAGGACTTTGTTCAGTCTGCTGGTACCCACAGAACAGCGCTGTACAACCTAGCCGTGCTCCCAGCTCTGTTACTACAACAAACGTATCGTCGATCCAAGCCCAAGGACAACACGAGTCACCTCCAGCGCCGGATGGCCCTCTGGGCAGATGGTAATATCACTGCTCTGGTTGAGGAAGGACGCTGCCTGCAACGGCATCGTGAGCCACACCGAGGAGCACGTCGACGAGGTGAGCAGGACAAGGCAAGGCATTTTGGTTCCCTCATGGCAGAAGGACGTGTGCACGATGCCCTGCGTTCCCTATCTGAAGCTGAGTCCACGCAGTCATCCGGTGTGTTAGGTATCGATGACTCGATCACCATCAAGGACTCCACCACAACCGTGCGGGCAGCCCTGGAGAGTAAGCATCCTTGCGGCACTCCAGCAGCAGAGCACATCCTGATAGCGGGAGCAGCGCCTCAGTGCCACCCAATCCGATTTGATTCCCTGACTGCCGACCTCGTGAAAACCGTGGCCATGCAGGCGAAAGGCTCGGCAGGTCCCTCTGGTCTCGACTCGTCAGCATGGCGACGTATGTGCTCGGCGTACAAAGGGGCCTCCAACAACCTTTGCTCGGCGATGGCGTCCTTCGGCCGCTTGCTAGCAACACAAACCTTGCCGCCAGACTCTCTTACCCCCTTCACCGCCTGTCGTCTAATTGCCCTGGACAAGAACCCAGGTGTCAGGCCCATTGGGGTGTCTGAGGTCCTCCGTCGCATTCTAGCCAAATCCATTCTCCGAGTAACGTCAGACGATGTAATGGAGGCCTGTGGTTTTCTCCAGAAGTGTTCTGGATTGCCAGCTGGGATAGAAGCAGCGGTCCACGCCATGAAGCGCTTGTATGAGGACGCCACAACTGAAGGAGTCCTACTAGTTGACGCGAAGAATGCCTTCAATTGCCTGAACCGCCAAGCAGCTCTTCACAATGTTCGCCACTTGTGTCCTTCCCTGGCTACCACACTGCTGAACTGCTACCAAGATGATGCCCGCCTCTTCGTTTCTGGCGGTGGTGAGCTTTCCTCCGCAGAGGGTACCACACAAGGTGACCCTCTGTCGATGGTTTTCTATGCCCTCGCTACATTACCATTCGTACGGCACCTCCGCACTACCCACGCCAACATCCGTCAATTGTGGTATGCCGATGATTCAAGTGGTGCAGGCAAGCTACGGGCCCTTCGACGCTGGTGGGATGATGTGGACGAGACCGGGAAACCTTACGGTTACCATGTCAACGCCTCGAAGACTCTCCTCCTCGTCAAGCCTGACCTGCTCAACCTGGCCCACAGTGTCTTTGCAGGAACTGGCATTGAAGTGGTCACGGATGGAGCACGCTACCTGGGTGCCGCTATAGGGACACCGGATTTCATCGCTGGCTATACAGCTGGGAAAGTACAAGACTGGCAGCAGGAGCTTATGCGACTGTCCGAGATTGCCACTACCGAACCTCATGCGGCGTATGCCGCCCTCACACACGGATTGCGTGGTCGATGGACATATCTCCTTCGTACACTGGAGTTCTCAGCTGAACAGCTGCAGCGCCTGGATGACACGGTCACGGAGCACTTCCTTCCGGCTCTGACAGGGAAACGCACATTCACGGCGGATGACCTCTCTCTTCTACGGCTACCTTGCCGGCTCGGTGGAATCGGTTTGCCATACTTCAAAGAAATTGCTACCTCCCAACTGCAGGCTTCCCAAGTCATCACGAGCAGCCAGGTTGACGAGATCATCCACCAGCACGATCGAGAGTGGCAGCATCATTCCTGCGACTTTGTGGATCAGCTAGCCCGCCGTGAGAGAGCATCTGCTGCCAAGTCCTCCAAGAAAGCTAGTGCTGCCTCTTTCGCTGCTCTCCGAGAAGCTGCGGACCGCCCCTTGGCCCGTCGTATGGATGAGCTGTCCCGCAAAGGCCCCTCTTCCTGGCTCACTGCTCTTCCTCTCAAGGAACATGGGTTCCACCTCTCGAAGCAGGAGTTCAGGGACGGCCTTGCATTGCGATATGACTGGCCTCTCCTCGATGTCCCCACGAAGTGTGCCTGCGGAGTTCTGTTCTCCACTGCTCATGCCATGTGTTGCCCCCGGGGTGGCTTCCCTACAATCCGCCATAACGAAGTCCGTGACATGGTAGGGGAGCTACTCACGGCGGTCTGCCACGCAGTGGCAATCGAGCCTCAGCTAGCCCCGCTCTCTGGAGAGGTGTTTATGGCTGCATCAACAAACACCGCCGAGGATGCCCGCGCTGATGTCCGTGCCCGTGGCTTCTGGACCCGAGCACAGGATGCTTTCTTTGATGTACGCGTCTTCCATCCTGATGCGGCGTCCTACTCGGCCCAACCACTGGATGCCCTACTGCTTCAGCACGAGCGCCAGAAGAAGCTGCAGTACGGAGAGCGAATCGTCAATGTGGATCGTGGCACATTCAGCCCGCTGGTGTTGTCAACTTCTGGTGTTGCCGCCCCTGAATGTGAAAGGTTCCTTAAGCGCCTCTGTGGCTTGCTTGCCAGGGCTGATTCCAGCATGCCCTATGCACACCATGTTGCATATGTGCGCTGCAGGCTGTCTTTCGCGCTGCTCCGGTCCGCTGTCATGTGTGTCCGTGGGTCTCGGTCGGCATACCATCGTCCAGCTAACGAGCTCAGGGAGCTGGCAGTGGTTGAAAGCCGGATCTAAAACCATTTGTGTTTTAGTGTGACTCTCGCCATTCCGGAGACATATTGTCCACACCTGTGTAGTATTTTTAATATTATCTTCCTATCATACCCTGGTTTCTCATCATTGTGTCGCTTTTGCCCGTACAAGAGGCTTTATCACACAGTAAAAAAAAACAAAAAAAAAAACAGTGTGTACAGTGTGTACAGCGTGTACAGTGTGTGCAGTGTGTACAGTCAACCAGGCCGCATGTACTGCGTGCAGTTGCAAAGCTAGCTGCCTAGCGCCTGTAGCAACCGCCGTTGCTACAGCTCATCCTGTACACCGTACATACTGCAAGTGCATGCAAGCACGCGAGCATTTTACAGCTCCATGTACGTAGATCTACGTGTACAAATGCCCGGCCAGCTGGACTAAAAAGCGCTCAAAATAAAATAATCGGTTGTCCCTCTTTGGGAACAAAATCGGTCGGTTTGTCGGACAGGCGATCAAAAATCGGACGATTTCCGAAAAATCGGAGCAAGTGGCAGCCCTGCATGGGGCCAACATTTTCGTACCACTCACCCTGGATGCAAGCTTAACTATGGGCAAAGTGCATTCTCTGCAGTTGAAGTAATAGGAAGAGAGCCTGATCGAGCCCGTCGCAAACTGCGCGAGGCGATTGAGATTCGTGATGCCAAGCCCCATGTGAACATAAGCACCGGATGGGATTTTTGTGAATTTTCTCAGCTTCCCCTGCTGCTACTTCAATATCACTGAATAATTATAATATGAGGCGGGTCACTCAAATCCATTCTGTTCCTGATGCCTCGTCGCGTCCCTGGTGGTAACAGTTTGGCATGGAAGTTTAACCTCATAGTGCATTGACGCATGGGGCTCCGTGCTCGCCTCCTGTAATGTGCTAGAATTAACACCATAATTATTTGGCATGTACCCTCACTTCCTAGAGCACAACGGCGCGCTCTTCTTCTCCGTGATGTGCACAGTTGCACCTTCTCTCCCCCCTCTGTATAGAGGTGACATAACTCGCATCATTTTATTTTTTGGCGCTACACTCTGCGTAACGCCATTCACAGAGCACAATGCGCGCTACCTTCTGCTGCTTCTCCTCCGTGATGTGCTAGTTGCGCCTTTTCTCTCTCTCTGCCCCCCCCCCCCCTTCTGCATCCTAGGTAACATAATTCGCATTTTTTGGCGCTACACTCTGCGTATATACTGCTCTTGTGTGGCTTCCACGGTATTCATTGTTATTACCTGACGATGGCCAAGTGCCGAAACGTTGTAAAAATAACGGAACTAGTTCGGATGTGATGTGCAGCGCTATGGGAATGGGTGTGTCCACCCGAATTCTTTTCACAGATGAAGCTGCAGGAAGCCTCAGCCCTTCTTCAAAATAAGTTTAACTGGTGATTATTGGAGCAATGAAATATTATACTCGAATTTCAGAAATGTTTGGTGCTCAATATTTTCCGTATGAGGGCAAGAGGCCAGGTTAGGTGAACAGAAATTTTCGGTACAGAGAAGTAGTTCCCTATTGGATTTTGCGTGTTAGTGTTTGTTCGTTGTATTGAAATTTTAGGTATGAAACAGATGCACCGAAAGTACCGAAAATAAAAGCACGCCGAAATTTGTAAAGCAACTTATTTTCGCTGGCGATATCATTTCGCTAATTTTGCCGCTTGGTACCAACTGGCCAAAGTAAGTTGCAGGCCAAAATTTGTCACCGAGGCAAATAATGCTTGATTGAGGCCTGGCTGCATGCGAAAGCAACACCTACCGATCGTTTCTTTCTAAACCCCAATCGGCCAAAGTATGATGACGGCCGAAAAAGTATCAATTCGAGATCGGCCAAAGTTTCTCACCGGCCAAAATTAGTTGATATACAGTAGGCTATTTTGGCACAATTTATCAAAATCTTTCCCAGATGGAGAGCCTTTTCGTGGGTCTTTTCATAGCCATACCAATGTAGGATACCTTCCAATGCCCCTGGCGTGTTTCACCACTGTACTGTCTACAGCACATTTAGCACTGTGTGCAATGGCAAATTGTGCCAGCTAGGAGCTTGTAGCTGGTCAGATGAACCCCTACATGAGCGAGTAAAACTGACAGTACTAAAAACTACTAAAACAATCTGCGCGCACACACACACAAGCATGCGCACGCGCGCGCGCGCACACACACACACACACACAAGCGCGTGTGTACGCATGTATGCACGCACACACACACACACCACACATACACACACACACACACACACACACACACACACACACACACACACACACATCGGTTCAACTAAAATAACACACTCCATACATCAAAATTGCTCTAGCAGAGCGCTCAGCATAACACAGCGCACCACATGATGCTGCGCGACTTACACTTCTTCTTGGGTTCCTTTGTCGTTGGCGCCTCCGCTCCGCTACTGAAAGTAGAATGCACGAAGTAGAAAAGAGAACGGACCTATAAGTTACGAGAATATTTCTGCTGATACGGTGGTGCTCCAAACACCAGAGTGCTGAGTCCTGAGTGTTGGGTGGCACACAAACACAGGTGACGGGTGACTGCTTATGCATGTCAGCTCAAGTCTCCATGCACTTGGGATGGCCCTCACACAGCGTGACCACTACGTCGTCGCTCGTAAGTTAGCGTGCTTTTACAACAGTAGCTAGCGTGCATGTGTGAATGAAAGTAAGGCTCAGTATCATTATTATGCTGGGCAGGAGAAGATTCACCCGAACTCACTGCTATAAGCAGTGTAGCAGGACGGGGAAACCAATACAGAAAAACCTGTCAAGGCAACCACTCTGATAAGGCGACCACATGTTCTAGTGGACCACTACAACCAGGACCAGGGGATGTTATTTCCAGTCAAATGACCCTGGATAAGGAGACCACCTGTATACGGGAACCACATTTGTAAGGTCCCTTGAGCGGTCGTCTTAGACAGGTTTCACTGTACCATGGATACTTGTGTAAAAATCAGTTATAGACTGGTGTTCATATCTTGGTCATGTGACTAAATGTGTGCACAAACTGGTCATGGCATGTTGACGGTGAAACCAACATGGCCGACATCGGGTGACCCATAGATGCGGGGGTTGAGCAGAGTTGGAACCAACATGGCTATCCCGCATTGTAATGTAATAGATGTGAAACAATTCAATGCAGGTCCTCCCCCCCCCCCCCCCTCCCACACACACCACCAGTTCTTCGGCAACACACGACACTGTACTCACTCTGCTTGTTGCTGTTGATGCAGTCGACCTCCGTGCATGCCCTTCTGTTCCGACTGCCTGACCCCGCGCTTGGCTGGACAGCAAAACATGCGCGTGTGTCAGAATACGCGTGCACGCACACACGTGCAGCATCCACATACACACACACACACACACACGCATAACAGTTACACATGCGCGCGCACATACGCACACACACACACACACACACACACACACACACACACACACACACACACACACGCACGCACGCACGCACGCACACACACAAATATGGCACTTCATGCTCTGCAATGATACCCATGTATGGCAAAGTACCATTGACCCCCCACCCCAAGCTGCGACATTCTCCTTGTCGTTTTATATTCGGTTTTTCAGCTGGGGCGGCTGTTGACATGTACAAGTTGGTACAACTACATGAAAGATCAGGCTTGTCCTCCTGCATTGTGCACATTTCCATTCACCATGTACCATGTACCATGTATACGCGCGTCGCAAGAGAAGCTCGCAAATCTGAAAATGCACTGGATGTGCACCCACAGATTTTCTCTTATAGCAACGATAGCGAACAAGATCTGAATGAGACAGATCAAGACTAGCGCCAGATAACTGTCTAATCCACACAACTGGCGAAGCCATGTGAATCGACCACCAATGCACACCTGGTCTACACCACACGGAGTACATCCATTCATATTTCACAGGCATACAGACACTAGCACGTATTGCCACATGTAGAGCATACGTGCGTTGACTGGACACCGTATTCATACGCATAACTGGACCTGAAGCCACTTCATCACAAGTAGACATTCGACAGGGAGAAAAATTCAAAAGCGGGGCAAATCAACGGTACTTCGCATCAGTTTTATCAATCACAAGCGCCCCATTCAGAAGGAAAACCAACTAATGTTTTGCCCAGGGCCTTCGACGGGATGTGTGTATTCGAAACACAATGATCAACGAATGGGTTGCAATGCAGTCTGGTCAACCTGGAAAGGAAAGAAACTCACAGATTCACGTGAGATTCAGTTCCTGTAAACCCGGAAACCATTTTCGCGGTCCGGAAACCTTCACGGTTCTTGCAATGGGTGTTAAATCGCAAAAAAAAGTAAGCCGGCGCGAAACGTAGAACTGCCGTGAAGAAACTGAAGAAATTGACTCCAATCGCAAACATTTCCAAGAGTGAACTTGTCTGCGCTCGCAAATCGCGAACGAAAACCAGTGCAAACGTTTCCAGGCTTACTGGACGGAGTTAGGTCTGCGGGCCGACCTGAAAACAGCTTCTGAATTCATGCTAGAACATCCCGTGCGGAACGGGCCATAACACGCAACTGACCGAGTGGAGACTTGGACAGCCCGAATTGCCCAGCATGTAACCATAGCAACACACATTCTATGTGCTAGTCCAGGGTTAACAGCTACTTTTGGGTGCCGAAGATCGAATCGATATTTCGTTCTCCCTTCGCCGTGACCGCGCTCACACGGATAGAGTCACCCGCGGCCAAGTCAATAATTCCCTGTCTTTACCCATTGTTCAAGCTCAAGCTGGATACAGATCTATTTCATTCCTTGGTGCTGACCGCTGTAATACGCTTCCCGAATCCCTTCGCACAAATCATATCCCCAATTCATTTTGCCAGGAACTTAACAAATTCATTCATCTTGGGCACCCTGTAAGAAGACCTTAGGGTCTGTTGGGAATGCCCAAGTAAAATAATAAAATACAATACACTAGTCAGAACAACAGATGGCTTGATCAGTCACAACTTAAAGTTTCATGCCATCTCAGGCACTCATCAGGTGATATCACCTGATGAGTGCCTGAGATGGCATGAAACTTTAAGTTGTGCCTGATCAAGCCATCTGTTGTTCTGACTAGTGTGTCACGGCTCTACCTTCCCGGTATCGAGCTCTCTTGGATTTCTGCTGGAATTCACAACAGTGTAAAATACAATACAATACATCTCGGTAGCGCTAACCGACAGCCTTCCAACTCGGAAGGTTCAAGGTTATGGGGTTATGGAAAGACCAAAGAGGGGAAGGTAAGCGCAACGAAAACGAGCACAAGCTACAGTCCCATCAGAACAAAGAATGTCGATTGTTACTGGACGATGACGAGACCAATAGGATACTTGACAAAGCGGTCTAACTACAATTCGAAGCAGCAAAGCAGCACACCACCCAACTTGGGTGGCTCATACCGTATTTTCCGGGGTATAAGCCGCACCATGGTATAAGCCGCACCCCCCTTTTTGAGGCAAAATATTGACTAAAAGTTGGTATTCGGAGTATAAGCCGCACCCACAAACCAAGATTTTTCACACTCATTGACAAATGGCCTTTCTACAAATTTACTATGGTTATGGAGCTAAATACCATGTTAGATCAGATTATGAACTGTTAGTGCACCACAGGTTGCTGCAGAGATGTTGGTGCATTGCTGTGTTGACTACAGATCACTCCATGTCATCTGCACTATCTTCAGTCTCGCTGCCACTGATGCACTAAAACTAGTAAAAGTGCCGGGATAGCAACACAGGCGCGAAGCTGAGTCAAATGACATGTCACATGACGTCAGCATGCATACTGATGTATGCTAAGCATTCATTCGCGCAAGCATGTTCGGTGTATAAGCCGCAGGGGTGATTTTGGTCCGATTTTTAGCGAAAAAAAGTGCGACTTATACCCCGGAAAATACGGTAATTAATATCAAAGATAAGTAAAGAAGGGGGAAGCTTTGCGAAAACGAATTGTACAAGCCAAAGGCAAACTCCTACAGTACTCCTCATGCATGACATTGTGATGGACTGGTTGACTTCAAAACAAGTTGTTTCACACGAGGTACGTTTCGCCGTATGGCTCGTGACGGAAAAGGACTTGGGGCTCTTTACTTATCTTTGATATTATATGGGATTGTACTCATTGTAGCTTGTGCTCATTTTCATTGCACTTACCTTCCCCTCTTTGGCCTTTCCATAACCTTGAACAATACAATACAAAAAAATTGTTCGACTTCCTTTCTCCGCAGGAGGAGTGGCTGGGTGTGTTGGGGCTGAAAAACACTAAAACGTTTCACTTGGAAAAATACAATCGGTAACCCCGGCCAGCCCCTTACCTGATTTCTCAGCAACTTCAACATTTGAGGCTGGTAACCATGGTGATGGATCCTTCGCCCAATTTCGGAGGTCTTCCATTGGCTTTGTGTCGCGTCCATGCTCGTCCCGGAGCTTCACCGCGGAATTACGCTCATCGGCACCTTTGACGTGAATCCCCACAACATAGCCAGTAGCAGAGGCCGTCTCAGTTTCGCCTTCTTTGGGCAGAAGGAAGACGGGCGAGCCACTTTGCCCACCGCTAGAGTCAACAAAGTGGTGAAGCTGATGGCCGTGCTCTGCAAACGCAGCAGGGCGAGGCTTGTCAACCCAGTATTTGCGTTTCTCGGCGGTCTCTTCTTTGCCACCATAGAAGGTGTGCGTTGGGTATCCGCACATGCGGACGTCATCCTCTTTCTTCTGGCACTGGTTAGCAACGCCAAGAAGGTTTTCATCTGCCCAGTACGCTAGCGGACACTTACAGCGACTCCTCTTGGCTGCTATTATGCCATAGTCGTGTCGAAATTGGTCAGGATTGCTATTCTTCTTCGCATCCTTGGCATTGTCCTTGTACCAGTCAGGAACGATCAACCAGCCATTCTTATTCTTGCGGGATATCTTTCCCATGGTTAGGAACTGGTTCTGAGATAAATCGCTGTAGATTTGTACCCAGAGCCAGTCGCCGCAATCGTTGCAGAGCAGATTATGTGCGGCAGTCGCGAAGATGTACTCCTTGCTAGTTGCACAGTTCAGATCGCTGAGTAAGAAACACGTTCCTTGATAAGCCAGAGTTCGGTCTTTGTCGCAATTGTCGCAGCCCACCTCCAGGGCAAATATGGAATGAAATGGACTGGACATTTCAGCAGGTGGCTCGTTCACGGTTACTCGCTCGTCCTCGCCCGGCTTTAGGCAATTCTCTGCAGTTCCAGCCAGACCCGCGCCTGGTTGGGCAATGACAGAAGATTGCCTCTCCGCCATCGTGCGTAGATCTATGCCGGTTCAGATCAAGGCTCAGTTCACGACTCCCTGCGCCGAAAAGTAACGCGTTAGTTCACACGTTCGCGTGCCTTTCTTGCAATCTAGCTTGGTGTTTGCAGAGCGCATAGGCTATAGCTAGCGCCCACTTGCACTTTGTCTTTACTCTTTAGGCGGTGTCCACACTACAACAAAAACCGCGTACAAGTCACTTTTCCTTGTAAGTTGTCATGGAGAACCGTGGGAAACGGCGTGAAAGTGAAAAAGTCGCTTGAACGTAATCAGCAACTTCCGAACCCCGATACAACTTACCCCCCCCCCCCCCCCAAGGCCACTTTTTACTTTCAAGTAGCTTTTCCGGGTTTCGGAAGTAGGTACAGTCATGTAGTTGTTGAAGTATTTGTTGAAGTATCTTGAGAAAATGCCGAGGGTTGTGTTCTGTGAAGAGCTGGAAGGAAAGCTCATTGAGCTGTGGGCTGCAGAACAGAAAGCGAGCAATGGGACGATGAAAAAGCGGTCGGTGAAGGAGAAGGAGATTGCCGTGAAGTATGGAATCAAGCAAGAGTACGAGTGTGAGATCGCCTAATCACAGCCCGCCGCGCGAAGCGCGAAGGGCTGTGATGTAGGCTGATCGAACACGACTACGAGTGTTTTGATTGCATTTCTGACATGCACCCACGCTTGAAACTCATATCGGACTTGTAAATACTTCGCGAAGGGCTGTGATTGGCTGATAGAACATGAACACGACTGTTTTGATTGGATTTCTGACAAGAACACGCACTTCGAGCTTCCTATCGCGCTTGAAAGCACAACTCTCAACCTTCTCGAGCACGAGTCGAGTAAAAAAAAAGCGAGCTTGATCAGTAAATCAAAGCCCTAGTGGAGCGGGCTTTGATCGTAAAATCAAAGCCCGCCTGGGCGGGCTTTGATGGGAAAATCAAAGCCCGCTCCACTAAATATGGAGTTCTACTTCTTGTAGCATGCTTTGATCGCCTCATCTTGGCCCTGCTAGCTAGCTAGGTGCAATGCGATTGGTCATCTCCGTGCCTACAGGCTTGTGACATGTCAGAAGTTGAATTATTTATTCGGCCGCGAGCTGTATGGCGATAAATTTCAGAATGAGATCACAGTGCCGATTGTTCACAACAAGCTGGACAACCTACGTACCAAGGCCAGGGAGCAGTACAAGAAATATCGCCGCCACACCGCCACCGGCTCTGGTGCTCCAGAGCGAAGACTCCGGCGATGCCGACATAGATCTGGAAGCTGCTTGCACTGCAGAGCAAGACCTGGGCACTCAAAAGTCACGTTTCACGCTGGCTGTTCTGGCGAGTGTGGATGCAAGTGCACTTGCACGCACCTTGAAAGAGGGCGCTACCACGTTTCACATCTGTACTGTAGCCAGTGTAGGCTTTCAAACATATCACGTGCTTGTTGCCATCCGACGGCCAATCAGCATCGACTTGTACCAGGGCAGAAATATTAATTGTGTGTATTGCCTGGTATATGGCATGGCAATGCCCTGCAAGGCTGCATGCTAGCATGCTACGGAGTACGGTGACATCCCCTGCATGCATGCTATGCAAATGTCAGGCTATGGTGCCATCTATCAGCGTAGCTAGGCAAGGGTCTAGTCTACGTACGTCTGTGGCCTGGCAGTTTTTCGTTGTCAGCTCAGTTCGCATGTACATTCGACTGTGAACTGACGTTACTTGCTCTGGTAAGCGAAATAAAAGAGCATGCACCTATCTATCTTACTTAGCAAGCCAAAATAAGTAAAGTGGCAATCACCGGGGTCAGTTTTCCATGTTCGGATTCCAGCTGTTCCAGCTCCGTGCGCTCTCGGGCAAGCCCTCGAGCGCACGGCTGAAGTTTCGTTCTGAAGTTTCAGCTCGCGAAGTATCAGCTCCGTATGCTCTCGGGCAAACTCACAGTCACAAGCTGAAGTTTCGTTCTGAGCTCCGTACGCTCAAGGGCTTGGGAGCTGAAACTCACAAGCTAAAGTAACACGTTAGTTCCAGCTCCGTTTCAGTGAAGTTTCGTTCTGAAGTAACAACATGGCCAGCAATCAAGGACATCTGAGAGTTGTAATTTTTGTACTCCTCCGAGGTGTGATTTTTGGCGTGCTGGGCCAAGCACAAGGAAGCCATCTGCAAAAAAACTGCAGAAAATGGTTGTTGTTTGATCCTTTGGTGTAATCTTTGTTTCTAGTCGAAGCTAGTTGCTGTTTGGAGCAGAAACGCTGAAATTGACTATTTTCTGCATGTACTCATACATGTACTCATGTACTCAGGCATGCAGTCTCACTCGTATTTTAGCTATTTTTCTGGAATGGATGCTGCTCTGCGCCCCTTGGTGAACATTTCCTGCGCTCGTGGAGCAGCTGAAAAGGACCACTGGTACAGTGGTGGACAGAATTATTGTCCCACCCATGCTAAAATGTGATTCAGTTGATTGTTACTACCTAGACTCTAGCTGATGTGATAAAGACATTAGATAACTGATAGAAAAGGCAAGTTTTGCTTGTTATATGGTTTACAACTAGTAAAAGCAGATCTACGTGAGGATAATAGGGCAAAATGTGGGACAATAATTATGGCCGAAATCCAGTATATACGGTAAGGCTGCCTAGTCTACCTAATTACAGCTAGTAATGAACTAAATTAAGGCTAGCACCACTAAACAGTCCTGATCTGATGAAACTCACGCAGTTTTACCACTTCGTGGCTCCACCCTTGGCCTTGATCACTGCCTCCATGCGCGCCGGCATGGTGTTGACTATGCGCGCGCATTCGTCGGCAGTGATCAGGTTCCATGCACCCTTGCAGACATCCCACAGCTGATTGGTGGATGTGGGCCTGGTCTGCAGCTCATGGCGCTTCAGGCCAAGGATGTGCCACATGTTTTCTATCGGATTCATATCCGGCGACTGCGGTGGCCACTCCATAACGGCGACGTTGTTTTCCTGCAGCCACTGCTTTGTCGCACGTGCCGTATGCTTTGGATCATTGTCCTGCATAAATAGGCCGCCAGCATCGCCGAACGCATCCTGCATGCTTGGCAGCATCACGTTCTGCAATATTCCTAGGTACTGCTGCGCGTTTAATTTGCCGTCGACTTTGTACAGGCGGCCTCTGCCTTTGGCGGACATCGCTCCCCAGATCATAATATTGCCGCCTCCATGTTTCACCGTTTTCCGCGTACATGAGTCGGCGAGGGCTTCACCTGGTCGTCTTCTGACGTAGACAGCCCCGTCAGAGCCCACCAGGTTGAACTTGGACTCATCTGTCCACAAAACTCGGCTCCACTGCTCACATGTCCAATTCTTGTGGGCTTTTGCGAATTTGATCCTCTTCAGTTTGTTTACTTTTGAAATAAACGGCTTTTTTACGGCCACACATCCTCGCAGTCCACTGTTTTGCAGCCTGCGACGCACAGTTCGCACTGAGACCGCGTCTCCACCGTCCTGCGCCAACTCGGCTCTCAGTTTTGTTGACGTCTTGAATCTATTGCACATAGAAAGCACCTTCAGCCTGCGATCGAACCTGGGGGTAGTCTTCCTTGGGCGGCCAGTGTGGGGCTTCGTATCGACTTCGCCAGTTTTTTTGAACGCTGATATAATTCTGCGTACCGTACGATCGCAGAGACCCGTCAATCCAGCTATAGATCGCGACGAGAGACCCTCCTTGTTCATCTGAACAACAAATTGCCTACTATCTTTAGTGAGCTCCTTTCCTCTCCCCATCGTGCAGGAAACCAAAGTGAAATTACTCAAATTGTTGTCAGGAAGCCGTCAGCAGGCTGGAAAATCACCACGTGGTGAAGATTTTGAATTTCCCGCAAAAATCAGTTGCAAAACTTTTGCCAGTCGTACACGTGACATTTCGGCCATAATTTTTGTCCCACTTTTTGTACGGTAAATCGTGAGTATTCTGGAAAACCGGTCAGCTTTGTCAAAACTCATTGCCAATACCTGAAATGCATCGACTTTGTGGCTGTTTCGCACACAGCTACATGTATGTCCAGGCTGGCCTTTAGATTCCAAAAGTAATTAGTTGACCAAAATGCAAGGTGGGACAATAATTCTGTCCACCACTGTATGTCTGGTTCCTGGTTTGAAAGTGGAGAGTCGACTTTTGTGCCTTGAAAAAGGAGTAGAGAGCGATAAAGGTACGTCTGTGGCTGATTTTTGAGTGCTCCTCGTACATTTTTGATCGTGATAGAAATTCTCAGACCAAAGTCAGACCAAAGTCAGCGCGATGATGGTCGTACAGTTTTCTTGTGAATTTTTTAGTTGTTTCATCTCGTATGTATGTCAGTATCGTGATGCATCGATGGTGAAGTGGAGAGGGTGATTTTCTTCCTCTAGGCTTCGTTCGGCCGACTTTTCTTCGTCCTCGTTGAAAAGTGATCCTGAAAAAAAGGTCGATTCGCAAAATTATGTTGATTTTCAATGTACGAGATGACATGCGATTGCTGGCTATGCCGTTAGTTTCATCTCGAGCAAGGTGAAGTTTCAGCTCCGTACGCTCTCGGGCAAGCCCTCGAGCGTACGGAGCTGAAACTAGCAAGGTGAAGTTGAAGTAACCGTTAGTTTCATCTCGAGCAAGGTGAAACTAACAAGCTGAAACTAGCAAGGTGAAGTTTCGTTCTGAAGTAACCGTTAGTTTCATCTGGAGCAAGGTGAAGTTTCAGCTCCGTACGCTCTCGGGCAAGCCCTCGAGCGTACGGAGCTGAAACTAGCAAGGTGAAGTTGAAGTAACCGTTAGTTTCATCTCGAGCAAGGTGAAACTAACAAGCTGAAACTAGCAAGGTGAAGTTTCGTTCTGAAGTAACCGTTAGTTTCATCTGGAGCAAGGTGAAGTTTCAGCTCCGTACGCTCTCGGGCAAGCCCTCGAGCGTACGGAGCTGAAACTAGCAAGGTGAAGTTGAAGTAACCGTTAGTTTCATCTCGAGCAAGGTGAAACTAACAAGCTGAATCCTCCACGTCCCCGACCACCACGCCTAGAGGAGTCTCGCTTTTATACCTTCATGCCCCCGTGCTCATTTTCAGCTCCGGACGTAACTCGTTATCAGGACGTGCTGACCGGTGATTGGTGTTTGCTTGT